GTGTGTTTACAGGTTGATGAGGTTTCCTGAATGTCTGGAGCCCGATTATCACAAGGATATCTTGAGTGCACAGGGGGAGTGCCCTGTCATAAGTTGATTGAAGTCTTGCTGTAGAAAATTGTCTTGCGCCTGTCTGTATGCCATCACATTCCTGCCACAGTTCGTTGGCTCCCTTGGACAGTCCTTGTTGCCCACGCAGCCCTGTGTGCGCAAATTTGGATCTTTACGTCCCCAACGGCTAGAAGCCGCTACGCCATAAGCCGCACATCCCTCAAAGCATGAAGCTATTGGGATGTTACCCCCTCTACTAACAGTCTTCAAGAGGGGTTTTAGAACAGAGGATACTATCATCCCTATCACGGCCTGTTAGTGTAACGGTGACATGCCAAACTACAGACCTTAAGTGAACAAACCCTAAACTCTAAACCCTAAACTCTAAACCCTCCAATGACCAGCAAGATGCAAGGCGGCGCGAGCATGCTGCAGCAACAGCCGCAGCAGCCCCGCCCGCTAGCAGCAACCGCCGTTCCGCTGTTGAACAGGCCACCAACTGGCGACGTAGAGTTTAGGGTTTTGCGTTTTGGGTTTTGGGTTGTCCCTGGCGATTGCACAGGCCCAGATGCAAAGAGTATTTTTGTTGGGGGTAAATGTAGAGCTTACAAATGTAGATTGAGGGCAATGCTGAAAGTTAGATGCCTTAGTTCTGAAGGGTGGCTCTGATGTGTGTGTGTGTGTGAACGACACCGAGGTGGCTAACCATCATTCTTGCAAGGCTGAAAGGCCCCAAAAGCCCTTCACCACACTGAGTATACAACTCAAGTCCACTCCCTGAAAAGCCCAAGCCCTCAATCTCGAACAGCCCTTCTGGCCAAAGACTCATAATTACGAAACCTCACAGCCGAATCCTTAACCCTAAGGGTCCATGAACCTAAATCGGGAATACTTGGGCCTTTAAGTACTTGATATACAGGGACTTTGGGCCCCAAGTATAATATTTAGGTACATGGACCCCTTAGGGTAAGATCTCAATCCGGCACAGTAAGCCTCGTCCACTTGGAGTCCTCGACCTGTCCCTGCGGACTTGGGAGTTAGGCGTATAGGGTTTAGGGTTTAGGGTTTAGGGGATGAGTGACAGAAGTCGGCTGTGCGGCCGGCCGGACCCGGCAAAACAACCCTCGAGACGCCCAAAGGTTCAGGCACTCCAATACCCCTTGATTAAGGAATATTCCTTAAAATTTTAATAGGGTTCCTTTTTGGTTTTAAGAATACTCCTTATATTTTAATAGGGTTCCTTTTTGGTTTAAGGACTATTCCTTTATTACGTGGTATTGGAGTCTCTGGGGCCGACCAAGGACTTCAAACCCGGAAAGGCCGCAACGCCCCCCCCCAAAAACCCAAACCCTAAGGATCCATGTACCTAAAGTTTAGGGTTTGGGGTTTGGGGTTTAGTGTTTAGGGTTTAGGGTCCATGTAGCCAAATAAGGAATACTTGGGCCTTTAAGTACTAGCGATATAGGGACTTTAGGCCCCAAGTACATAATGACTAGGTACATGGACCCTTAGGGTAAGCCCTGTAGGCCCTGGCATCCGTGGGCTGCAGAACTTGCACCCGGAGCTCCCTCAACCCTGGGGTTTAGGGTTTAGGGTTTAGGGTTTAGGGTTTAGGGTTTAGGGTTTAGGGTTTAGGGTTTAGGGTGAGATGTTCATATTTTTTTGGCATTGTCAACCCCAACATTATAAACCTTAAACCCTAGACCCTAAGCCCCTACAAACCCTAAACTCCTAGACCCTAGACCCCTAAACCTTAAACCCGAAGCCCCTACAACCCCTAAACCTAAACCCTAGACCCCTAAACCCTAAACCCTAAACCCTAAACCCTAAACCCTTCAAATGCATGGAGAGGTCTCGGCTCTCCGCTGGCGTCCCGCGCCGCCGAAGCTCGAGGCGCCAGTGGACATGAGCCTCGGCTGCTCCTTGGGGGGCCACATGAACCCCCAAAAGGGGTTTAGGGTTTAGGGTTTCCAAGCCCGGATGCAAAAAGGGTTTAGGAGTTTATTGTAGTACGGTGTATATGACCCCCCAATTTCAGGTTCATTTGGTCTCCCAAGCTTGGGGCTTGGAGCTTCGAAGACTGCTATACACAGTTCAGAGCTGTGTAGGTTTCGGGGTTTAGGGTTCAGGGTTGTGGCTTTAGGATGTAGGGTTTAGGGGCTTAGGGTGGCATTGGCGGGAGAGTGAAAGCTCGGGTTTGGGTTGGAACGTTGGGTTTTTTTTCCCGACTTTGGCGCAAACGGCCTGGATTTGTAGCCAGGCCAGACATGGGATTCATAGGTCTTAGGGTTTAGGAATTAAAGGGTTTGGGTCACCTCCTGCAATGACACCGTATACGAACGAATGGTTTGATTGAACGACCAAAGCTACCAAGTCAATCTTGTCAATTTTGTTGCTGCTGCAGGGCCGGGGGTTCTATGGGGTTCTTTGGTCACCCATTAGACAAACCAACCGCCCGTCACCCACAGAAAGCGCTCAATGCGAACGCTTCCAGCATCCGAGGAAGACATTTAGCGTTGTGCTCCCTTGCGCTTTCGAGGGGGAATTTGCCGAGAAGACGGTTTGGGCTGCTCCTCAGTCGCCTGTGGTGCATCAGTTGCAAGGTTCACTTGAGCCTTGAACCCTCCAGGGTAGTGCTATCGCTGATGCAAATCCGACAGTGGATCCGTACGGGCATTGCAAAGCAAGGGCTGCAGCAGCTTTCCTTACCCGAAGCCCTAAACCCTAAACCTGCAGTGCATCGTTCAGACAGCTAGGCGGGTGGCAAACCCCAAACCCCAAACCCCAAACCCTAAACCGGCCATGTGGAACTGCCTCGCGACACCCTGCACCCAATGAGTTGTTGTGCCCCCCCTCCCCACCCTACTGCTATACCCTGGCGGGCTCTTTGTAGGGAATGAAGGAATGAAGGAATGAGGTACCTATTTACTCCCTTCAAGGGTATATACAGGCCTAGTTCCCTCATTCCCTACTTTGAACCAGGGGGGTAGTTCCAGGGAACTAGAGTACAAGAACCCTTATTATAAGGACACAAGAATTAGGCCCCCGTAAGTATACAGGAAAGCCTAAACCGTGAAATCCCAAACCCTTAACCCTAAACACTATACACCCTAAACCCTTTAAAACCCTAGAAACCCTCAACTTTTCAAGGCCTAAGCCTACGCAACCTAGAAACCGTATGAACCCTATAAGCTCTACAGCCCAGTAGAAAACTTGTATTCCCAGAACCCGAAGCAAGGTTTGGGAGAACACAGACGGTCTATAGAAACCCTATACTCCCTGCAAAGCCTATGAACCCTATGAACCCTAAGCCCTAAGCAAGGTTTGGGAGAACACAGACAAGCAGATCCTCATAAACCCTATCTGAAAGCGTACACTTCTTTGGGGCTCATGAACTCAGCAACTAAGTATAATCCCTATGAAGCCTATGAACCCTAAACCCTAAAATGAACTCAGCAACTAAGTATAATCCCTATGAAGCCCTAAGCAAGGTTTGGGAGAACACAGACAAGCGGATCCTGAAGGAGATCATCGTAGTCGACGACGGCAGCCGGCCCCCGCTGCGGAAGGTCATGTCGGCGAGCCTCGGCTTTGAGCTTGTGGGGCTTTTCGGGGGTTTAGGGTTTAGGGTTTAGGGTTTAGGGTTTAGGGTTTAGGGTTTAGGGTTTAGGGTTTAGAGGCTTTAGAGGCTTTAGAGGCTCTAGAGGTTTTTTCAGCTTAGAAGGCTTAGGGGGGTTTAGAGGCATTCTGTGGTTTGAAGGGTTAGTGTTTACGGGGTTGGTTTCATATGGTTTTTGGGGGCTCACAGGGTTTCTAGTGTTTGCAGTGTTTATAGGTTTTATAGGTTTGTCATAGAGTTTATAGGTTTGTCATAGGGTTTATAGGTTTGTCATAAGTTTTATAGGTTTGTCATAGGGTTTATAGGTTTTATAGGTTTTATAGGTTTGTCATAGGGTTTATAGGGTTCAGGTGAACGGTTCAGGGGGGGGTTGCAAAATCCTCCGTTTCAGCGGGGCGACCCGGAGCCCGAAGCCCGAAACCGCCCCAAGCCGCCCATGAACCTCCAGGCAGTCGGGCCTCGGCCTCCCCTCTCTTGATTCTGGGGTTTAGGGTTTAGGGTTTGCGGTTTTTCGGTTAACCCTAAACCCTAAACCCTAAACCCTAAACCCTAAACCCTAAACCCTAAACCCTAAACCCTAAACCCTAAACCCTAAACCCTAAACCCTAAACCCTAAACCCTAAACCCTTTCCAGGAAGCTGCTGGCTGGTGGCCCTGGTGTGCCCACCATGAAGATCGTGCGCCATGAGAGCCTCTGGCTGTTGGGTCAACTCTGGGGGGCGGGGGAGGTGGTTTAGGGTTTAGGGTTTAGGGTTTAGGTTTTAGGGTTAAAGGTTTAGGGTTTAGGGTTTAGGGGTGCTTGATGTTGGGCATCTGCTTTAGGCTTGAGTAAGGACCAGGTGTGTTGCATCTTCTCTCGACCCCCTCTCGCAGCAAGTCCAGCAAATGATGTCCGCCGAATTTGGATACAACTTCACACCAGAAACAACCATAATGTCGTCTCCCTTTCCAGTAATTAATTCTGCTTTTACAGGACTCTTATCCCATGGGTCTCCCTCTACCCTAAACCCTAAAGGGTTCAGGGTCAGGAAATCCTAAAAACCACTTAGTAGAACCCAGCACTGTGACATTCAGTCAGCTAGGCAGGAACCCGAAACCCCATAGCTAGGGCCTAAACCCTAAACCCTAAACTGGGGCCGGCTTTGTGCAGCTCTCTTCTTCATCAAGCCTTGCCATGGCGAGAAGCACCTCAATGCCTCCCTGTGACCCCCGGAACTGGCTATGTGTGAGTTTGTATTACCTGTAGTGTTTTGGTTGTCCCTGTTTGGGTACGGGGATCTGGAGGAAGGCAGTTGACGTAGTACACGATTCCGGGTATTTCCTCATCTGAATGCCTCAGGGCGATATTCCTGGTTTGGGCATCCCGAACCTGAACCTGGGGGTGATTACTCCTTTTCCGAGACCGACCATGAAACCCGCAGTGCTGTGGCTAGCCGGGTACCAAACCCTAAACCCCAAAACCTAAACCCTAAACCCTAACCCCCAAACCCTAAACCCCAAGCCCCCCTAAACCCCAAGCCCTAAACCCTAAACCCCCAACCCTAAACCCTTTGTGGGCTAGGAAGACTCTCGGCCTCATTTCTGCGAAGAAATCTGGCGGGGACGCGGCCACAGGGGACGTCATCGCCCCTTGGCTAAGCACGCCACTGACAGGGTGTAGGGTTTAGGGTTTGCAAGGTTTAGGGTTTGGGGTTTGGGGTTTTGGGACATCGCTGTGTCAGCACGTCAGTGAGATTATCAGCATGTTTTTTTGTTGCCCCTCTACCCTAAATACCCTGAACCCTAAACAAGAACTCGACTTGGAATACCTGCTCTATCCCCCATACAGTGGAACTGTTCTGGGAGTTGGCCCACGGACACATAATTCGTGGTTCTTAGTAAAGAAGTAGGTCAGAGCGACGTGCTCAGACAAGCCTATGTCAAAGCAAGGGTTTATGGTTTATGGGTTGTTGCAAATCCCTAATCGCCCTAAACCCTAAACCCTAAACCCTAAACCCTAAACCGGCAAATTCAAGCAAGGTCTTCTTCGACTGCCATGTCAGTCCCCGCGTTGGCTGGGAGCAAGCTTTCCTCAAGCAGATGCAGCGGAAAGGCACATTTCCCCCGTTTTGGACTTTTTCCTTGGGGACCAAATGAACCCCCAAACTTGGAGAACTTTAGGGTTTACGGTTTAGGGCTTCGGGTTCTTGGTTTAGCGTTTAACCTTAGGTAGGCTGGGCCCTAGACCCCCTCCCCCCAGAAAAAGAAAATCGCCAAAGGGGATCATCGCACCATCGTCGTCCCCACGATCACCTCCCTGAACCCGGACACCTGGACCGGCCGTGCGGGAGTGGTGGAGATGGCATTCACGGTCTTGCTGTCTTGCTCCTGCGGGTCCTGAAGACAGGTTAGGGCGCTGTTGGGGAGGGGTTTGCAGCAACGGCTTGATAAACCCTAGTCCCCTCCCCCTAGCAACAAACCCCTCCTACCCCCTAATATTCAATACTCCCAGTGTAGTTATAATGAATGGGAGTATAGGTACACTGACTGCCAAAGGACAAAGTCTGAAGTAGAAGTTTTGAAGACTGTACGTCTGGGTGTGTTTGCCGAGGGTCGTCACTGCTTTACAAGCTGACAGCCTAGGTGGAAGTGGGTTTCCCCACCACATATATGTTAATGGGAGAATACATACAGGTTCACGGACACGCATACACGCACAGAGATTATTTGTTGAATGCAACCAACTGTCAACGAAAATCAATGCATAGAATGCATAACAGACATGTCATATAAACCCTGTTGAGTCATAAACCCACTTGCGATTATTATCTGCAGAATCCCCAAATATGTACCGAAAAAGCTACTTCGACAATCTACTTGTATGTTCATTAAGTAGGCCTCTATATTCGCCTCTGGACGAATTGAGCAGAGCTGCGCAGGAAGGAAACCGGCGGCAATGCAGGTGGCAAGACGTGCTTCATCTTGTGGAACAATGACTTCACGTGGTTGCGCCCCGCTTACGTCATTTTCTAGGGTTTAGGGTTTAGGGTTTAGGGTTAGGGTTTAGGGTTTAGGGTTTAGGGTTTAGGGTTTAGGGTTTAGGGTTTAGGGTTTAGGGTTGAGGGTTGAGGGTTTAGGGTTTAGGGTTTAGGGTTAGGGTTTAGGGTTTAGGGTTTAGGGTTTAGGGTTTAGGGTTTAGGGTTTAGGGTTTAGGGTTTAGGGTTTAGGGTTTAGGGTTTAGGGTTAGGTATATTTATTTCGGGCTTGGGGAGTTGCAGGCTTGGGAAGTTCAGGCTGCATGTGTAGGACGTTCTCCCGGAAAACTCGTCGTTTCCTGGAGAGATCACCCTTACTGAAGAAGCCACCGCGCAGTCAATGGGTTTCCCATACACCATCCCAAGCCTGCCCCCAAAACAGTTCCCCGCCCCCCCCCGCATTAAGTTTAGGCTTTAATAGGGTTCATGGCAATGGGAGATTTTTGGGAACTAGGCATAAAAAGCCCCCGAGACTTCCTTCCCAGGTACAATCCGGGGCGCGACGCCCCGCTGATGAGCGGGGGCCTCCTCGCCCTTTCACGGCGGCACCTGTGGTTGAAAGTTAGTGGCTTGTGGGTTTAGGGTTTCGGGTTTAGGGGTTAGGGGTTAGGGCCTTCTTGCCCTGCTTTCACGTGTTGCCGGCAGCCTCCTCAGTCCGTGCTTCACATGGGGTTTGGGGTTTGCCATTTGTACTTACTTAGCCAATAGTAGAATCCTTTTTTCTGGTTCTGGGTTGAGGGTTTGAGAGTTTTCGGGTTTAGGCTTTCAGGGTTTTCGGGTTTAGGGTTTTAGGGTTTCCGTTTTTTTGGTTTTAGAGTTTCAGACTTAGGGCTTTTGGTTTCGAGCCCTAAACCCTAAGCCCAAAAACCTACACCCAGGTGGTGGGAGGAGACAGGCGGCTACGACACCAACATGGTTGCGTGGGGCGGCGAGTCTCCTGGCCTCGGAAAACATACATAGGGTCGTAGGGCGTAGGGTTTAGGGTTTAGGGTTACTTGAAGTTGGGATGTTCACCAGTCCTTAGTAGGGATTATAATAGGGGTGTTCTATACTTCCTATTAAGGACTGCTCGTGTAAGGTGGGATTTTCCTGGTAGTGCAAGGGGGAAGATCCCAAACTTGAAGGCTCATGGGCAGTTGAGCCTCTTCATGCTCAGAGGCTAGGATCTAGGGTAGTTCCCTTGAGATCCGGAAAAATAAAGCATGTTCATGGGGGCGTTTAAATGCTGAGTAGTATTGGTTTTAGGCACAGTACGCACCCCAAAGAAGTTCGAAACCGGTTATACGCGCAGTTGCCCTTCTCCCAAACCCACTTACCCTAAGGGTTCCATGTACCTCATTACTGTATACTTGGGCCCGAAAGTCCCTACATAGGAGGTACTTTAACGTCCTCCTTATTTAGGTACATGAACCATTGGCTTATCTACTCTTTACTTAAGAACGCTCCTCAAAATACAAGGTAAGCCTTATATTGCCCTTATATATCGGGATGTGTTTCTAGTGTTTTGGGGGGTGGTTCTAAAGCAAATGGTAGTTCTAGCTACTCATGAACCTCCAACGACCCCACTTGCTGCCGTGCCTCGTTACTGCATCACTCCTGCCTCTGTAGGCAGGCTATATCTCGTTCCTCCTTCCCTGCAAAGAATTTCGGCCCTCTGAGGGTATAGGGTTTAGGGTTTAGGTTTTCCTTCACTGTGGAAGGATTGAGGTTTTGCCAGAGAAAGGAATCGGAGACCTAGCCCCGTTGCTGGCGCGCACGAACTGTTCATCAACCCTTCTACCATAGTCTCTTCATAAGAGTCAATTTATGTTCGGTTGTTGCTGGGGTATCTATGCACACTGTTTTCTCACGGTTCATGGGGAGGTGATAGTGGCATACGCGCTTCTTAACCCTAAATCCTGCAGCGTTGACAGGAACATCGACCAGTCTCTTCGCTCCTGGCTTTGCGGTGGCCGCATCGACACTTGTCTCCTACCTCATAGGGACCTGGGGGTGCGCAAGGGTTTAGGGCCAAGTTTAGGGTTTAGGGTTTAAGTCCGGCTGCAAAGAAGGGTTTAAGGATGTTGCGCAGTCCAGGTTGCAAACAAACAAAGGGGGCTTATGGTTCCCAACTAAACCAGTGAGTCTACCAGACTGCAAAGCTCACCTGTAAACTGCGACCAGATGCGCGCAGGAGGTGTACGGTTTAGGGTTTCGCGGCTTGCTGGAAACTTCCCGAAAGGGTTCAGGGTTTAGGGTTTGGAGTTTTGGGTTTACAGGGTTTTGGGTTCAGGGCTTTGGGTTTCGGGTTTAGGGTTATCCTAAACCCTATTGTTGGGGTGGCCCAGGAAGTGGCTGAGGGCGCCTACGTCGCGCACATGTGGCGGGATCCAAAGAATCCGCGGCCGGGCGAGAAAGCTGGATGAGTTTTTGTCGTTGAGGGTTTGTATTGGGTTTTTGAAGTTGTTTCGTTCGATTATTTTAAAATTTTTATGGGTTTCAACAGGTTTTTGTTTAAGGGTTTTTAGGGTTACGGGGTGCCGTTGAATGACAGTAGCAATGGCAACCCAACTGCGAGTTAACACAAGTCTTCGTTCTAGTTGGTTTGCTGTCCTGGCTATAACTTAGCATGCGCCCGGCGTTCCAGCGATGCAACTGGCATGTTCCAGATTTTTTGGGGGCTTGGATTCAAAAAAAAAACCTATAGACCCTGAACTTCCTGGAGCCCTAAAGCCCCTAAACCCCTGAACCCCGAACCGGACAGCCTCAAGGAAGACCACGCTGAAGTATCCAATCCCCACCCGGGACGTCATGCGCAACAAGGCCGGGCCTATCAACTCTGAAACCCTAGAACTTATATTGGTTGGTGGTCTCTTTACGTAGGAAATCTTCTGTTTTGTAGGGGTGGTTCTTATTAGGGTATCTAGGGGCTATGTTAAGGTACAAGGGAAACAGATAAAGAGGGTTTAGGGTTTAGGGTTTAGGGTTGGGTTCTTAAGGGAGAGGGGGTTCAAGGGGGGCATGTAACTCTAAAGTTCCCAAGGTACCTACCCCCCATGAACCCCCCCTCCCTTAAGAACCCTATAAAAAGAAGCTCCCTCCGCGGGAGCCGCAGGTCTGGTTGACGGTTCAGGCCTTTCAAGTCTAGGGTTTAGGGTTTAGGGGTTTAGGGTTTAGGGTTTAGGGTTTAGGGGTTTAGGGTTTAGGGCTTTGGGCTTAGGGAATACGGCCTTAGGCTTTAGGTGTCAGCGTCATAGAGCAAGCCACCAAAACCTGCTGAGGGCCTCTTCTCGTTCTTGCATCCTTACCAAGCCCCAAACCCTACACTACTATTTGCTAAAGAACACCCCCTTAGAATCAAACAGATTCTTCCATAAAAGGGCAATATAGTGATTAGTACACATTTTTTTTTAAGTGTTGTATTGTTGTTTTTTGGTGGGGGGGTTCTGAGGCAAATTCCCCGAAACCCTCAGCAATAAACCCTTAACCAGGTACTCTTAACCCCAAACCCTTTTGCTTCCTGGGCGAAGCACTGGTGGTTTTAAGCAGATTCCCCCTAAACCCTGAACAATAAACCCTAAACCAGATACTCTAAACCCCAAACCCTTTTGCTTCCTGGGCGAAGTACTGGTGTTCTCAAGCAAGCGTACCCTTAACCCTAAACAATAAACCCTACAGCAGAAACCCTAAACCCTATACCTTAAACCCTAAACCCTAAACCCTAAACCCTAAACCCTAAACCCTAAACCCTAAACCCTAAACCCTAAACCCTAAACCCTAAACCCTAAACCCTAAACCGCAAGCACGGGGGTGTTCAGGCACGCGCTGCCACAGCCTGGTTTGGGGAGTTCGTCGAGAAAGTCATGACCTTTCCAGAGCCTGCTGGCTGTAGAAAGGGTTTATGGCTAAGGGGGAGTTAGGGTTTAGGGTTTAGGGCTAGGGTTTAGGGTTTAGGGTGATTTCTCAGCCTCACAGAGCGACTTGAGGTACGAGATGTTCACCAAGAATGGGGAGAGCATTGGCGGCTTGGCGGGAGACTGCGCATCAAAAGAAATGGCGTTGACTAGTTTCATTGCAACCACCAAGCATTCTGCGGCTCTGTGTTTGGCAAATGTCTTCAGGCTATTCAAATGAAATGTTGGCACATGCAAGTTCACGGGCATTGGTTGTCAATCGATCGGAACATAGCTAAATTGTATTCTTCTCCTGAATATCTAGCAGGATACCTTTCCAATCGATCTCTTGCGTTTCTCAAGATGATGTACTCAAGAGTCACTGTTCTCAAGGGCGGGGGTGATCGATAGCATTGCATTGTGTAGTTGCTTTCGCGCCTTTGGGTCAGATCTTATTTTATAGACCCCTCGGCAGAGAGCGCAACACGCCTAAAGCAGAATTGCACCTTATAAATTCATGATAGTTCAGGCTCCCTATAACTCTAAAGCTGAGTTGCACCTCATCAGTTCATGGTGATTACAAGGCTCACCCTAAACCGTAAACCCTAAACCCTGTTCCCTATTTAATCGGTATTGTGGGCTCCCTGACACCGGCGTTTAGGGTTGAGGGTTTAGGGTTTGGGGTTTAGGGTTTAGGGTTTCAGGGTTTCAGGGTTCAGGGTTCAGGGTTTAGGGTTTAGGGTGTAGGGTACCTGCTCACCGAGGTGACATGCGCGGCTTCCAGACAGTCAAGGACCATGGCCTTTCTCCACATGCCAAGAGCGAAGGTTGGCTAAAGCCCAATCTCAAGGGACTAAGGGTTTAGGGTTTCGGGTTTAGGGTGTGCCTTGGGGTGTTCCCCCTTACCCCTATTGTAGAATCCCCATTTGTGTACATGGATCCTTAGGGATAAACTCAAGTATGCAACCCTAAGGGTCCAGCTGAGTCTATCTGCCTATGAAATGCGTGGAGAACTAATATGTTCTCCATATTCAATAAACCCGAAACCCTAAACCCTAAACCCCAACCAGCAAATCCCCGAAGGATCGGCTTGGCTGTGCTCCCTTCACGAGCAGCTCGTCAGTCGGTTGAGGTGCATGGTAGGCCCTTGGGTTGTATATGGGTTGAGGGTTTAGGGTTTAGGGTTTAGGGTTTAGGGGTTTAGAGTTTACGGGTTTGTTCCAAGAGTCAAAGGTTTAAGGGGTCAACTTGGTGTAGTGCAGCGAAGTCTGCGAGGTGAGGCTCATCTATTCCCGATAGTCTGGCTTAGTAGCCCTGTTGTAGAACCCTAAACCCTAAACCCAAAACCCAAAACCCTAAGGGTGTTTAGAGCTCCTCGCTCTTGGTGCCACCTGGAGGAGACACCATGTGTGTCATCCTCAGGCAATCCATCCGAAACTACGTAGCTCGGGGGTCTCAGGCTTCCCTAAGCCCCTTAAACCAAAAATCCCTATCTTCGCAGTGGGGACTTTGGGAGTTATGTGGGAGTTACTCTAGGTAGATTGTAAGGATAACTTCGGGTAGGCCACGGATGTCTCGCCGCGCCGAGGTTACTTAGATCGCTTCTCGAGCCTTGGACTATGTGTGGGTTTAGGGGTTTTCTGAATTCCTTGGGCAAAACAAAGCACATCCCACAGCTAGGTAGGCCCTTGGATGGCCATTGGGACATTTCATATTTTCCCTTAGTGGGTTTGAGAGGAGAACCCTAAGGGTCCATGTACCTAAATAGGGAATACTTGGACCTTTAAGTACTTGCTACATAGGGACTTTGGGCCGCAAGTATATATATATATATATATAAATTAGGTACATGCACCCTTAGGGGAATATTTATTATGAATATTTTTGCAGAGGGTCTGAAGGGCCATCCTAGGACCCCCAAAAGCATCTTGCCTCCGAATCAAGACCGACACGCGTTCCACGTCCGCCTGCCTCGATCCACTTAGGAGCCAAGTCGTTAACCTCGTTCGAGTAGGTTTTGAGGGTTTAGGCTTTTGGGATTTGGGATCTCTTTGTGGGAAAACTGCTTGCTTCTGCAACCGGCCAAAAGGCAATACCCTCCGCGCGCCTCAGCCACCCCCCCCCCCCCCCCAGGGATTCAGGGGCTAATTCGGGTTTGTCAATGTGATTCTGGGTCGGGGAAAGTTTTGAGGAGTTTCGGGGAACTGTGTAGTTTGGGGTAGTTTCGAGGACATTCTTGATATGTTCCCCCACCAAAGGTACATCTACCTGGACGGTGGCCTGATCCCAGATCACGTCTTCCAGCTCCGCGAGCAGAAGTCGGGGCTGTGCATGCAGGCACGGACTTTGCAGCAGCCCGGGGTCAGGGTTTAGGGTTTAGGGTTTAGGGTTTAGGGTTTAGGGTTTAGGGTTTAGGGTGGGGCGGGGGGGAGGGTGTTTATCTGTGAATTGACTTGAGAGGGTTGGTTCTACAGCTCTGACGCAGGCCTCAACCCCTCAAGCGGGCCTCCATTTGGGCAATTTGTTGCGCAAGTCCGAGTGTGTGAGCCACAAGCTGCAGGGGAGACAGAGAGAGGGCGAGAGAGACAGGCTCATTCAGGATCCAGAGTAGGCTCTTATTCCCTCTGTTTAAGGTTTTGGTGGACTTAAAAGCCCCTTGAACACAAAAAGGGCACCTTTGTTTTTTTCCTAGCTTGCTCTTGGGTCTGGCCTCTTCAGGGCGGATTTCGGATCCGGCTTCTTCGGGGTTTAGGGCCTTTAGGGTTTAGGCTGCAAAAGGGTTTCGAGTTTAGAAAGTGTGGCGCAGGGTCAGAAGTTCTGGGGGGCCTAAACCCTAAACCCTAAACCCTAAACCCTAAACCCTAAACCCTAAACCCTAAACCCTAAACCGTGGAGACGTGCATTGCGCAGGTGAAGCGGAACGACCGCCAGCCACACAATGTGGTCCTGGCCGCCTGCTCCGGGCCACACGAGGTCCAAGTCTGAGTTTAGGGTTTAGGGTTTAGGGTTTAGGGTTTAGGGTTTAGGGTTTAGGGTTTAGGGTTTAGGGTTTAGGGTTTAGGGTTTAGGGTTTAGGGCTCTTGGTGGTGGGACGAGCTGCTACTGAGGTCTCGTGCCACAGTCCGTTTTTGGGGTCTTTGCGACCACATGCGCCGGCACTTGCACATCTTGGAATTGGCCTTCTTCATTGGGGTCGATTGGGTGAACCCTTTTTGAAGTACAGCCTCTGAGCACACTTTCTCCTAAACCCTAAAACCTAAACCCCAAACCTCAAACCTTAAATCCTAAACCCTTTGCGCCCCCGCAAGTGCCCGAAAGGAGCATCAGTCGTCCGAGCTGCAGCTGTTCCACCGCGGGAATCGCGCTACTGGCCTCATGTTTGGTGAAGCTTTGTAACGCTTATAGGGGTAGGGTGTAGGGTTTAGGGTTTAGGGGTTATCGTTTGGGGTTTAGGGTTACATGAAGTTGGGATTTCCCCTCCTTTACGAGCAGTCTTTAATCGGGGGTACTATCCCTATGAAGGTCTGCTAGTATACATCCCAAGGCTTCAGAAGTATTCAACATACCCCTTGGGCACAACCCTTCAAGGAGAGGTATGGTATAATCCTTCCTTATATTCTCCTTTTATGAGTTAAGGGGTATGGGTTTGGGGTATGTTGAATCCTTAAACTCCTAACTAACCTCCTAAACCCTTAAGCCTAACCTTAAACCCTAAACCCTAAACCTAATCCCTACACCCTACACCCTAAACCTAAACCCTAAACCCCAAGGACAACTTAAACCCTAACCTTAAACCCTAAACCCTAAACCCTAAACCCTAAACCTACACCCTAAAGCCTCATCCCCAAACCCTAAACCCTAAACCCCAAGGACAACTCCAAGAGGGGAAAGCCCTGCTGCAGCGGACTCATGCACTGGAACTTCCTGCAGTGCCTGGATGCGCAGAATCCCGGCACACAGGCCTGGTTTAGGGTGTAGGGTTGAGGGTGTTTCCGGCGTTTAGTTCTTTAGGGTTTTTCGGTTTCTAGAGTGTTCAGGGTCTATAGCGTTTTTCGGGCGTTGGGGTTTTGAGGGTCTTGCGGGTTGTTAGGGTCTATAGGGTTCATAGGGTTTATAGAGTTTATAGGGTTTACAGGGTTTTTGTTCGGCTGTTTCGGGTTTTTGGGTGTTTCGGGTTTTTAGGGCTTTTGGGGTTTATAGGGTGTATAGGGTTAAGGGCTTATAGTGTTTTTTCGGTTGTTTCGGGTATATAGGGTGTACAGGCTTTAGGGGTTTGAGATGTTTTCGAGTTTAAGGCCTCGGGGCTCAGTGACTGGTCAAAGAGCGAAACGCTAAGTGATCACCAGCAGCCACTGCCTGCTTCAACCCATTAGGGTGTTGGGCTTAGAGTTGAGGGTTTCTGCTGTTGTGCGCAGGTGCGGACGTTTGAGTGCGAGATCGGTGGGTCCTCGTCACATCAGAAGGTGGAAAGCTCTGGGACACGGGGGCACGACGGGGCCCAGCACATAAACGTAAGGCTTAGGACCTTGGAATTCTTTTCCCACGCTTGTGTAAGGTTGATCCTCCGCTGAGCAGTCTTTCGCACGCGCGCCACAGGATGTGCCGCCTTAAGCGAAGCACACTGCACTTGTCGCCTTGTTTGAAGGGTGTTTGTTAGGCGGTGCGGCGGCTACCCCTCATCATTGCATCTACACACTCCCACTTCGAAGCAACACAGCATCAAAACCTGATCGCCCGATTCTGAACCGGGACCAGGATGCCTAGTACCCCTCTTCGGGTGAGTAGCCCTCAACCCTAAACCCTAAACCCTTGAAACACCCTAAACCCTAAACCCGTGTAACACCCCCTTAGAGCCAAAACAGGGCACCCTCTTTGTTCTTGGGTTACTGCACAACCCACAGAAGCCAGAAGGCTTGGTTAGGATGTTCCCCCTTACACTAACAGTCCTCAATAGCTTAGTAGCTGAGTAAGTACACTTCAGAGTAATGGGGATAGTCTAATCACGTACAGACCTGAAACTGTACACTTTTTGGGGCTTAGGAACTCGGCAACTAAGATAGGGATTATTTTCGGTGATACTCTAAGCCCTTACTTCTTACAAGGTAGTTTATTCTGAAAGTTTCAGCTTTCATTTCCTTGGGTTTTGGGCCAGTAAGATCCCTATTAAGGACTGCTCGTATAAGGGGCAGCATCCCCAAGTTTAGGGATTCGAGTCTATGACGAAGTGCGGGCCTCAGTCGTCATGAAGCAGCTTCCAGGCTCCAAAGAGTTTAAATACAAGGGTTTAGGGTTTAGGTTTTAGGGTTTAGGTACCTGACTTCCATGTCGTAATTCTAAGGCCCAAAAAGGGGGCTGGCTCTATCTGGCGTAATGTTGGAACTCAAGGGGGCTGGGATCTTGGTGGCCCAGGGTAGATGGAGAGTTTCAACCTGGCTTCAGATGCTGCATTTAGGTGCGCGTGTTCATTCCATATCTCCCTGGCGCCCGCCCCAAGCCCTAAACCCTACACTTCAAGCCCTAAACCAAAAACCAAAACCCTAAACCCTACACTTTAAGCCCTAAACCCTAAACCAAAACCCTAAACCCTAGAACTCTGGGAGCCTCTCGCAGTGGCAGGTGGAGCTGTCCGAGGATGGCCAGCTTCTGTGGTGCCCTAGCTTTTTCCCTCAGGGTTTGGGGTTTAGGGTTTAGGGTTTAGGGTTTAGGGGTAGCCCAGCAGTACTTTTGTTTGTTTTGTTGTGGTCGAGGTTCCTGTCTCAAGTACGCACCCCAAAAAGTACTGAGCTACCAAGATACCCCTACATACAAGAATTTGTCAAAGGGTTTACCGGCAACCCAGTACATCAAATCGGACATCCACATTGGTCAATGTTTAATTTCGGTGTAGGGTTTTGGAATCTTGTTCCGAGGGTCTTTTTATTGACAACTGCTGATGTGATGCCGTAGATTATGGGGTTCTTAAGGGAGGGGGGCTTCAAGGGGGGTAAGTACAGGCAGCCCTAAACCCTAAACCCTAAACCCCAAACCCTAAACCCTAAACCCTAAACCCTAAACCCTAAACCCTAAACCCTAAACCCAGCCTCAGGGAAGCTTAGGGAGTAGTGGGGAGTATTAGGGAGCCTTGGGTTACACACCCCCCTTGAACGCCCGTCCCTTAAGAACCCTATAAGTAGTTTAGGGTTTAGGGTTTAGGGTTTAGGGTTTAGGGTTAGAACAGGGGCAGTAGTGCATCTTGACCCCCGGAACTCGCATGGTGCCATTCATTTTTCTTCGCGCTCGCTTCTTGCTAGCTTGTGGGAAGGAGCCGTACCCGAAACCCTAAACCCGAAACCCCACACCCTAAACCCGAAACCCTAAACCCTGAACCCAAAATCCTGAACCCGAAACCCCGACCCTGAACCCTGAACCTGTAAAGCCTTTGCTCCGAACGCCTCCAAGGGGCGACTTAAGGCGCCAAAGTCAGATTGGTTTGTGCTTGGTAGTTTTCTAAAGTAGGGTCCGTGTTCTGTTGCCTCATAGAATACGGCACCCTCGCAATAAATACGGCACCTATAAAAACTCATCATTTTTTGAGTTTGCCGGGCGGGGGGGTGGATTTATCCCAGGACAGCTCGATCAGGAGCATTATTCGAACCACAGCCAACAAATGGGTTAAGGGTTTAAGGCTTAGGGCTTAGGGCAGGGTTCATATACGCCCGCACCTAGGGTTGTAGGGCTTCGGGGTTCTGCAGTCCGGGGATTCTGCCTCTGAAGGGACTAAAAAAAGGAACCTTTGGGGTTATTCAGGGGCTCTGTAGGGGCTACTTAGGTATATGGGGACTATAGAAGGTATATCATATATAATCATATATATATACATATATATATATATGTATATGTAGGGGTTATGCAGGGAATAAGACTAAAGGTCCCTTCTAGGGGTCCCTCTTTATACCCCTAAACCCTAAACCCTAAACCCTAAACCCTCAACCCTAAACCCTCAACCCTAAACCCTAAACCCTAAACCCTAAACCCTAAACCCTAAACCCTAAACCCTAACCCTAACTCCTTCTAGGGGGTCCCTCCTTTCCACCCCCTCTTGCCTCAGGAACTGGATGGGCTCCTGGGGTGGAGCTCGAGGGTGCTTCGCACCGCAGCCTCCAAAGGCCATCCAGAGACCTTGTGGCGCCTTGGGGATTGACTCACTGGAACCCAAAAAGGGTATAGGGTACTAAACCCTAAACCCTGAACCCTGAACCCTAAACCCTACAGTAGCAGGGAGTAGAGTCATATAGTATAAGACACAAATAAAAGCCATGAGGACCCTAATTTCCGAATCCCCAAATATGGGTTGCCTGTGGTCCCCAAAGAGATGATGCTGTAAGGGGCAGAAAGGGTGTCGGGCTCAGGCTTTCACGTCGCAGCTGGCTATACCGCGTAGGGTCTGGGGTGGGGTATTGGGAGGTTCATGGGTACTTATAACCCCAAATACAGCTGTTCTTACAACCTACTTAGGGGGCTTGCTTGTGCAGTCAGAATTGGGGTTATAAGTACCCACGAACCTGCAAGTAGGGTTTCTAGGATTGGTTCCCGCCTCAGAGTTTGTGAGCTCAGTACCGGCGTGTGCCATTAGAGGGAGCTTCGGAGTAGTTGAAAGGTGATTTTGTTCGACGTCGCGCCCGGCTTGCTTCATTTCCGCTTCGACTCTAGGAAATGAGGGAATTGGGTCTTCTCTCTCTTTCTCTCTCTCTCTCTCTCTAAATATATACCCTTTAAAGGAATATATAAGGTACCTCTTTGGGTCCTCTCTCTCTTTCTATATATGCATATATACCCTTTAAGGGATTATATAGGGTACCTCATTCCCTCATTGCCTACTAAGAACCAACCAGCCGATGCGTCCGGCAGGTGGGCAATGCAGTGATAAACCACATCGACGCTTGTTCTGCCGCCGTGGAGCCTGCAACTTGGGCAGCAATGTTAGGGTTTAGGGTTTAGGGTTTAGGGTTTAGGGTTTAGGGTTTAGGGTTTAGGGTTTAGGGTTTAGGGTTTAGGGAATATAGGGTTGCGCTTCTTGTTCCTATAACAGATGATTGTACTATTTTTGGGGGGCATATTAAGGGTACGCTTGTTGGGGGAAATGCCCATGTACCAGCGCTTACCACATTCGTGATCTCAGATGCTACACGATGCTGCAAACCCCCTACTGAACTACTATAGTCATGCCCCCGAGAGCCTCGATTTTGTATTTCACCACACGGGACGTATTGCCACCCGTTCTTTGTTTGCCCAACAGCCGCCTCGCCACCAAAATTGCTCATTCTACCCCCCGTACTGACCCTTGCGCCTCTCCAGCAAGAATAGTACTGTAGTACGCAATACTAATGTACTGTCACTCATCATAGTAAAAACAACAATAATCGTAATAGTGAAAGCAACTCCCGAAGGCGCCACTGAAATTGAAGCTCTGCGCAACTGCCCTTAATGCAGAGCTGAAGAAGCTCACATTGTATTGCCGAGGCGTGGAAGCCCCAAAGTACAGTAGGGTTTAGGGCTTAGGGTTTTTAGGGTTGAGGGTTCAGAGTTCAGGGTTCAGGGTTGAGGGAAACCCCTAAACCCCTAAACTCAAGCAGAACCCCTCGGGTGGGGTCGCAAGGTTGGGGAGGCGACGCACAAGACGCCAAACGGCCTCACCGTGCCGGCGCAGTTTCGGGTCAAGAGCCGCGAGGACCCTCTTTGGGGGCATACATGGGCTTTGGGCTTTTTTGGAGTTTAGGGTTTAGGGTTTAGGGTTTAGGGTTCATGTTTAGGGCTTAGGGTTCTGTACCTCAGACCAACTTCAGGGGGCTTTGGGGTTAAGGGGTTCCAGTCCGTCTAGTGTTGAGGGTTCGGCCCTGAGCCTTGAACCCGAAGAACCCCCTAAACCCTAAACCCTCAACCCTAAATCCTTAACCCTAAACCCTAAACCCTCAACCCTAAATCCTTAACCCTAAACCCTAAACCCCAAATCCCATGTAGCTCAAGCCATGAGCTCAAGAGGGCAGGATGCCAGTCTAGGCCATGACCATCGTGACGTTTAGGGTTTAGGGTTTAGGGTTTAGGTTTAGGGTTTAGGGTTTAGGGTTTAGGGTTTAGGGTTTAGGGTTTAGGGTTTAGGTTCAGGGTTAAGGCTTTGAATGTTAGGGTTCCGAGGCACGCTTGATGGGAAGTTCCTATCGTACAAGGAGGCGCCCCCCCCTCACAAGGGCCCTTATAACCCCAACCCAATTAGGGCCCCGATAAACCTACTTATCACTAGGGGGCGCCTGCTTGTATAAGTAGAACTATCAGGAGCCTAAGTTGGGTTCATAAGGGTCCTCACTTTGGTTTAAAGTCCCTTAACTATACGTAATTAGTGCTGAACCCTGAACCCTAAACCCGGAACCCTGAACCCTGAACCCTAAACCCTATAGCAAGCATAAGGGGGCCCCTCCTTGTAAGCAAAGCTAGTTAGTATAGTGAGGCCTTGTATAGGTGGGCAACTTAGGGCGGGTTGGGGTCTTGTTGTTGTATCCAGCTGAGTTGTGAACAGTGTTTGTTTAGGGTTCAGGGTTCAGGGTTTCGGGTTTAGGGGTTGGGGTTTAGGGTTTAGGGTTTAGGGTTTAGGGTTTAGGGTTTAGGGTTTAGGGTTTAGGGTTTAGGGTTTAGGGTTTAGGGTTTAGGGTTTAGGGTTTATGGTTTAGGGGTTTAGGGTTTAGGGTTTAGGGTTTAGGGTTTAGGGTTTAGGGTTTAGGGTTTAGGGTTTAGGGTTTAGGGTTTAGGGTTTAGGGTTTAGGGTTTGGGTAGGTTAAAGGTTTAGATCGTCGGGAGTCGGATTTTGTGTTTGTTGTTTGTTGCTTCGGATGTCAGGCGTTCTGCCCTCAACCCCGAACCTTAGGACCCAGAGCAGCGTCGCTGCTTGTTTTCTATGGTTTAGGTCAGCTTGGTTCCCTGTTAAACTCTAGGACCGGGAGTAGGCCCTTATTTCCCTTTTTTAGGGTTGGGGTTCCCTTATAATCCCCTTAAAACCAAAAAGGGTACCCTCTTTATTCCTAGGTTACTTCCAGGTCTAGAACCCCTTTTAAAGGGTTGGCTGCTCTTGGGTCTACTTAATATCCCTAGACCCGAAAGCTCCCAACGCCTAGAGCCAAATAAGCATCTTTTGGTCCCCCCACAAGGCTTTTGACACTTTTCCGGCAGCCCTGGAGCCCTACACCCTGACCTGAAACGCTGAACCCTGAATCCTAAACCACGAAACCCCTACACCCCTCAAACCCCCAAATCCCCAAACCCCTAAACCCACCAGAAACGCCCAAACCCCCAAACCCCCAAACCCCCAAACCCTAACCCCTAAGTCCGTAGAGCCATAACCTTTAAACCGCCGACCCAGGGTTTGTGCCCTCCTCGGCCTGCGAGGAAAACGGAGGCTGTGCTGCCGTGTCCACAAAAGAAGGCGCGGGCGTCACATGACCCCGGAAGTTAGGGTTTGGGGTTTTGGGAGTTACTAAGCGTGCGAGAGAGAGAGAGAGAGAGAGAGAGAGAGGAGGAGAGAGGAGGAGAGAGGAGGAGAGAGGAGAGAATGAGCGTGAAAGTCAGAGTGAGCGTGAAAGTGAGAGTGAGAGTGGTCGGAGAAGATGAAGAAGCAGAAGAAGAACAAGAAGAAGATGAAGAAGAATAAGAAGAAGAAGAGAGGGTTTGCGGATTTTCGGGGTTAAGAGTTTCGGGGATTGGGGGTTTTGCGGGATTATATTGGGTTGAGTGTTTACGCCTTTAGTTGTGGAAGGTTTTGCGGGGTTTACTAATTTTCGGATTCAGGCTTGCGGGGGGGAGTCTGGACTTGCATATTGAAAGGGGCTTTAGGGTTTTGTGTTTTCTTGAAGAACCTTTAGACCCAATAGTTCAGGAAATGTTTGTCTTTGAGGTAGGGCGGGGCGCAACCCGATGTGCCGCTGCGAGAGGGCCGACCTATGTTTCATGTAATTAGTTAGTTCCCCACCCTCGGTGTGGGGTTGTTAGATTTTAAACTCAACTCTTCTCCTCGCCCGGAACTCGTCTCCTCGCCCGGTCTACTCCTCGCTCATCCCTGGAGTGCCCAACCCCAAAGTGTCCCTGGAGTACCCGACTCTAGAGTGTCCCTGGAGTGCCCAACTACAGAGTCCCAACCCCAGAGTCTCCAGAGTCTCCCTGGAGTGCCCAACCCCAAAGGAGAGGGTGGGGATGTTCGAAGTAAACAAATTGTTTTTTCTAGTCCCAAAAACCTCATCCCAATCTGAGCCCTATGTACCTGAACTGACCTGTTCTCTCTCTCTCTCTCACTCAGCTGGAAGCATCCGTACATGGAGGCTGCTGCAAGCCAAGGTAGCCATTTCCGTGAGTAGGCTTCTGAAGGGTTTGTCGTGGAAGCGGGCCCTTCCATGCGGCTGCTCGCACAGTTGTGCAGGAGGGAAACATCCTAAACCCTAAGCCCTAAACCCGAAACCCTAAAATGCCCCCCTGGGTTTGCTGGCTAGACCGGTGGCAAACAGCCCGCAGAGATTAGGGGTACCTTGTTGGGCCCTTAGTGTAAGGGCATCCTAGTATTTGGGGGGTCTGTATTCGGGGTCCCGTATTTTCGTAAACCCCCAGCCTCTGCTTCTTGGGGAAGAGGGTAGAGAGTATAGGAACCCTAACGACAGGAAAACAAGTATATGGCCAGAAAAAGGTATATACTCGGTCTAGGACCCCCAAAAGTAAGGGCAAACATGTGGGCCCATACTGTATCAACCCTACACTACTTGTCTGAGGGTAGTTAGATGCGGGAGCCCCTACTCTTGGGAGTCATATTCGGACCCTAAAGGATGTGCCCCTAAGAGGTTCCCTGAGCATACCCCTCACGTGGCCCTTATATTCCCTGAACCCTAAACCCTAAACCCTAAACCCTAAACCCTAAACCCTAAACCCTAAACCCTAAACCCTAAACCCTAACCCTAAACCCTAAACCCTAAACCCTAACCCTAAACCCTAAACCCTAAACCCTAAACCCTAAACGTTAAAAAAGGTCCCCGAAGGTAGAGTCCCATGACACGATGTACCCTTCATAAAACCCTGAAATATCTCAAAGCCGTGCCCTTTGCAGGTGGGGATGAAAGTGTGTCTGGCCTCGAGCTACAGCCACCTGGCGACGCCTCACGCTTTCTGGGGTTTGGGGTTCGGGACTCGGGTGAGTTTGACAGAGTTGATCGAGTTTTTGTAAGGTTTGTTTCATGGGGCTTTTAGGGGACTAGGGGATGTGGGGTTTAGGGTAATTAAAGGGTTCGTGGGGTTGAGGGTTTGTAGAATTTAGGGTTGATAGGGTGCAGCGGCCATGCGCTTACGGGGTTCATGGGGTTCATAGGGCTCGTAGAGTAATTGGTGTTTGGGTTGAAACGGAGTAGCCCTGTACCGATATGAGGATACTTGTGCCCATTTGCCGTATAAACCCTGTACCCTCAACCCTGGTCTAGGTCTCTGTCCATCATGATTGCTTCTTATAAGTCGCCTACCTGGCCTTGCTAAAGTGTTAAAGGTTACCTCAACCACGAGCTGCAACGACTAGATAAGCCCCTGAACCTTCGAGCAAACGCGAAACTTCGCTAAACCGGCCCTAAGCCCTGGGCTTCGAGCTTGGTAAACTACTTGGAAGCTCCTTTGACTTAGGAAGTCTACGTAGTATCTCTTCGAATCCCCTGCTAGAATCCCCACAACCCACCTTACGAACCCTACCAGTACTGGCTCAGCCAAAAAGGTTTTATACGGTCAGGGTGTAGGACCTCAGCCCTAAAGCCCCAAACCCTTCGGGTTCCTGGCTTAAGACAGGGTTTAGGGTTTAGGGTTTAGGGTTTAGGGTCTAGGGTTTAGGGTTTAGGGTTTAGGGTTGAGGGCCGGCCGGGGTTGGCTGAGTGTGGCATGTCCACCTCGAGGTTTCGACCCTGCGATCTTCAAGATCATGCCCAGCGTCTCGGCCAGCCCATGTAGGGTTCAGGGTTCAGGGTTCAGGGTTTAGGGTTTAGGGTTTAGGTTTAGGGTTAAAAAGGGTTTAGTGTGTATTGGTTTGGGGCTTGTAGGTTTTCCCATACTTTCCGTTTTTGGGTTTGGAGTTTTTCCCATGCTTTCCCCAAGCCCCGAAACCCCCCCACCCCCCCCCCAATCCCCCACTCAAAACCTCCTCCCCCCAAAACCCCCCGCCCAAAACCCCCCACATCCCCCAAACCCCCCAAACCCCCAATACTCGAGGGCATTTCTTTGAGGGTTTGCTTTTTGGATCCTCCTGGGTCTGCGTTAGGATGTACGATCTTCTGTTGCCGATCTTGTGTCGCGGATCCTGAAGAAGGGAAGTTGCATGTGCACTGGCGGCCTCATCAAAGTCCGTTGCTCAAAGAACAGGGTTTAGGGTTTAGGGTTTAGGGGTGCCCGTGGCCCCAGCTGATTTGGTGCAGAGTCTGGGTTCACAAAAAAGGGGTTTAGGGTTTAGGTAAACCCTAAACCCTAAACCCTAAACCCTAAACCCTAAACCCTAAACCCTAAACCCTAAACCCTAAACCCTAAACCCTAAACCCTAAACCCTAAACCCTAAACCCTAAACCTTACATGTTGATCCACTTGCCCTCTTGCCGAATGCCGAGGATCTTTAAAGCCACCCCGCGCTTTGGCGGCTTTGAGATCAAGACAGGCCCGGGCGAACAAGGAACCTTCATCCGCAAAGGTTGTCAGGGTTTATGAATTACGGTCAAAACTTATGATAAGAAAGGTTCGAAGGTCCACCAGAGTCTGGGACATTTCTTAACCAGGCAGATGTATTAAGAAAGGTAGATTTGAGGCGAGAGTCTTGAAAACATTTCTTATTCAACCTGACCAACCCTTTGCTTTCTCCGCCCTCCAGCCCTCCAGCCCTCCAGCCCTCCAGCCCTCCAGCCCTCCAGCCCTCCAGCCCTCCAGCCCTCCAGCCCTCCAGCCCTCCACCCCTCCACCCCTCCAGCCCTCCACAGCCCTCCAGCCCTCCAGCCCTCCAGCCCTCCAGCCCTCCAGCCCTCCAGCCCTCCAGCCCTCCAGCCCTCCAGCCCTCCAGCCCTCCAGCCCTCCAGCCCTCCAGCCCTCCAGCCCTCCAGCCCTCCAGCCCTCCAGCCCTCCAGCCCTCCAGCCCTCCCCCCCAGCCCTCCAGCCTCCAGCCCTCCAGCCCTCCAGCCCTCCAGCCCTCCAGCCCTCCAGCCCTCCAGCCCAGCCCTCCAGCCCTCCAGCCCTCCAGCCCTCCAACCCTCCAGCCCTCCAGCCCTCCAGCTGGAGGGCTGGAGGGAGGGCTGGAGGGCTGGGCTGGAGGGCTGGAAGGGCTGGAGGGCTGGGCTGGAGGGCTGGAGGGCTGGAGGGCTGGAGGGCTGGAGGGCTGGAGGGCTGGAGGGCTGGAGGGCTGGGCTGGAGGGCTGGAGGGCTGGAGGGCAGGGCTTAATCCTGGAGGGCTGGAGGGCTGGAGGGCTGGAGGGCTGGAGGGCTGGAGGGCTGGAGCTGGAGGGCTGGAGGGCTGCTGGAGGGCTGGAGGGCTGGAGGGCTTAATCCTGGAGGGCTGGAGGGCTGGAGGGCTGGAGGGCTGGAGGGCTGGAGCCTTGCAAAAAGGCCATTCAATTTGTAATTACGTTTGGGTTGCGATTCAGACTCTGAATATAATTATTTTTCTCAATTCGAGAGTCTAATTTCTTGCTTCATAAAATTTCTTAACACAAAGTTCCACCGTAGGGTTTAGGGTTAGGGTTTAGGGTTTAGGGTTTAGGGTTTAGGGTTTAGGGTTTAGGGTTTGAGGTAACCTTTGTTCTAAGGCAAAGTACCTTAATTATTGGGAGAAATTCCCTGTTTTCAGGTACGAGGTTACTCTAGGTAAACCATGAAGCCTAAACCCTAAACCTAGGTAGGTTTAAGGCAAAAAAGGTCTAGGGTACACCAGGAGCGCATTTTCACCGCTTGAGGTTCTGCGACTTGCTGTCTGCTCTTTGCTGAGCACTCTGCGGCACAGCCGTAGCAGCTCAACACGTGCTCCCTAAACCCTAAACCCTAAACCCTAAACCCTAAACCCTAAACCCCTAAACCCTAAACCCTAAACCCTAAACCCTAAACCCTAAACCCTAAACCCTAAACCCTATAAACCCTATAAACCCTATTAACCCTATTAACCCTATTAACCCTATTAACCCTAAACCCTACACTACCCTTATTGGCCCAGTGGTACCCCTTTTCCCTTTTTTCCGGTCCGAGGTTCCCTTATAAAGTAACCAACCAAAAAGGGTTAGGGTTTAGGGGTTTAGGGGTTTAGGGTTTAGGGTTTTAGGGGTTTAGGGGTTTAGGGTTTAGGGTTTAGGGTTTAGGGTTTAGGGTTTAGGGTTTAGGGTTTAGGGTTTAGGGTTTAGGGTTTAGGGTTTACCCTTCTTAGTATGGTTAGTTCCTGTGCTGCCAAGTCCTTCAAACCAACATGAGATGTGCCGCAGGTGATGGTCGCAACTGCCTGGACTCCAGTGGGGGCCGCGACATTCTGGTCTATCCCTGCTACGACGAGAGCTCGCGCAACATGAGCCTCCGATCATCTTGGGGAGCTGCTGCTAGGTTTCGGGGTGGATGGTTAACCCTAAACCCTAAACCCTAAGCCCTAAACCCTAAACCCTAAACCCTAAACCCGAAAGCAAAGTTGTTGTTCACACAAAGTTGTCGTCAATTAACATTGCAATTAACTGAGATGCAGTCAAAGTGTTGTTTTTCCTCCTTCCCTGGTTGCATGGAAGAGATGCCAGCATTTGCACACAGTATCTTCGGATCAGGAAGGCGCCTAAACCCTAAACCCTAAACCCTAAACCCTAATGGTTAGAACAGTCCGGCATTTGTCGTGGCCTTCGCAGCAGAATCAAGAACTCCGGCTCCTGCGAAAGAGTGGTCGTAAACAGAGACTCCAACACCCCTTATATTCCTTAAACCAGATAATTACAATATAATTATAAGGAACCTTATTCTTCTTATTATTATTATTTAAGGAACCTTCCTTAAATAAAGGGGTATTGGAGTCCCTGGGTAGTCCGCAGAGTCGGCCGAGGAACCAAGTCTGGCAGATTCGCGCTGCGCGGCTGCTATGGGAGGCCTGGTGCCTGACGGCCCGTGGGACTTGCTAACTGCGTTTAGGGTTTAGGGTTTAGGGTTTAGGGTTCAGGGTTCAGGGTTCAGGGTTTTGGGGTTTTGGGGTTTGGGGGTTTGGGGGTTTGGGGTTCAAGGTAGAATCCCTTTACTATCCGATTTACCCCACTTAAATGCTTGTAAATACACCACGTGCAACCGGATTTAGGCTTTAGCTCGTTTTCTTTCTTTACTTCGTGGCTGGGAGAGCGGCTCTTCGTCGCTATATGCCTTCTACTATAATCCCTATGAAGTTATATGAGCCCTAAACCCTAAACCCTAAACCCCCTGATGCTAACAGTCCAAAATAGGGATTTGTAGTACCCCCTAGTATAATCTCCATTCAGGACTGTTAGCATAAGGGGGAACATCCCAACGTTTAGGGCCCATTTGGTCCCCAAGGTCCAAGGTAATTCATTCAGGTATATGAAACCTAAACCCTAAACCGCAAACCCTTTTAGGGTTTAGGGTTTAGGGTGCAGGGTTTAGGGTTTAGGGTGTCCCCAAGGTCCAAGGTAATTCACGGCCCGCAGGCGCAGGGGGGCGCCGGGCAGATCTGCGTCGACTCGCGGGCCGTCCACGAGAAGGTCGTCCCTCCGCAAGGACATGGCTTCCGAGTCCATGATGGCCCTAAACCCTAAACCCTAAACCGCAGTTTGTTTGTGCGTGTGTGTGTTAAGGGTTAAGGTGCCAGGCTTTCAACAAAATTTCCTCGGTAGTTCTCTCTCAACTCGGGCCCCTCTTTGCATTGGGGTCCTTATTATAAGAGTGCCGTATTGCATAGGCCAAAAAGGGACACGAATTTAGAGAGCTACCCGCATGATTCCTGCAGAAGGTTTGTTCCCCTTGGCCCAGGCAGAAGAACAAATTGCAACCCTAAACCTCAAAACCTCTGACACCGCGTCGAAGTTGCGCTTTCTCAATTGCCTTCGGGACCACACGAAACATAACTCATAACGGACCATGACCCTCTTTATGGTTCATGCGGCCCCAAGGTCGCTTTGCATGATTCCAAAGCCAATGCTCGTGCCTTAAACCCTAAGCACTGAACTTTGAATTCAGAACCCTGCCTAGAACAACCTTTCCACCCGTAAGGCAAGGGTACTGTGCCTCAATTGGGACATGTACCCGTGTTTAAAGGTACAAAGGATACTCTAGGTAAACCTAAGCCCTAAACCCTAAACCCTAAACCCTAAACCCTAAACCCTAAACCCTAAACCCTAAACCCTAAACCCTAAACCCTAAACCCTAAGCCTTGGAGCCCTTTCACCTGAAGGAGAGTATCGCTTAACTACCTGCTCTCCGAAGCCGGGTCAGCGGCTTCAGCGTGCCTCCTGCGGCTGAAGTTTGGGTTTAGGGTTGAGGGTTGAGGGTTGAGGGTTTAGGGGGTTCAGAGTAAACCGGGTTCAGGGTAAACCCTAAAGCCTAAACAAGTATCTGGGTGGCAAGTGGCTCCAACCATCCGGCCTTGCAGAGCGCATGCACTTATCGCTTATGCCCCATTCGTATCGCAGATCCATGTCTTGGTAGCGCAGTGGTAGCCTTACCCTTTTTATTCGGTTCTGGGTTCCCTTATAATTACATTAGCAAGCGCCAAAAAGGGTGGCCTTATTATAATATGGTTACTGGTGGGCTGCCAAGATGTCTAGCAGCTGGGCAATCAACCGTGCTGTTGCGTATGATGTATGATCACAAAGCATGAGAAGACATAGACAAGTATGCAGGTAGCTGTTCCTAAACCCTAAACCTATTACTCTATACTCTCTTATACTTGAATGTGCCCCCTATGTGTGCACCACGTGGTCAGATGTCCCTGCTGGGCGTTTGGGGGTTTTCCAGGGGGCTTTCGGCTTTCCCATCCCAAGCCCCACAAGCATCCTGAAACTTAGGGTTAGAGTTTATAGGGTTTAGGGTGTAGGGTTTAGGGTTTAGGGTTTAGGGTTCAGGGTTCAGGGTTTAGGGTTTAGGCTTTAGGGTTTAGGCTTTAGGGCTCAAACCCTATGAGGTGCAGAAGAGGACCAGGACGGGACCTTCCTATTGAAGGACAGACGATCGAGCCCGAAACCCTAAGCCCTAAGCCCTAAGCCCTAAGCCCTAAGCCCTAAACCCTAAACCCTAAACCCTAAACCCTAAACTCAACCCTATCCCCTCAGTTGTGTCTGAGTTTTTTTTTTTTTTGGGGGGGGGCTGGCGAACCGAGAACCGGGATCATACATGACCCCAATTTTAAGGTTCATGTGGTCCCCAAGCATATTTTCTTTTTTTGGGGTGTCAGGTTCCTTTTTAGAGTCACATCGCAACTTCCCCCTCCCCAATATAGAAATCCACTTCTGAAGAGATGGAAGGGGCTGTAGGGGGCTCTTCGTTGTGTGCTCTTCAGGGCGAAAAGCATCTTGTAGCTCCCAGGGCTCCAGTTCGGGTTGGGAGTCCAAAATTTACTTGTGGGACCCCCCTAACACCCTAAAACCAAACCCGAAAACCTCCCAAAAGCCTAAACCCCAAAACCTAAAACCCCAAAACCCTAACACCCCAAAGACCCAAAACCCTAAAACCCTAACACCCTAAATCCCGAAAACCCTCAGCCCTAAACCCAGCATTTCGTTTCCTACGTTTTGGTTTTTCTTGGGCGAGCCTGGATGGGCCGGGTAGGAAAGGGGGTTTAGGGTTTAGGGGTTTCGGATTTCGGGTTTAAGTGTAGGGTTTAGGGTTTAGGGTTTAGGGTTAGGGTTTAGGGTTTAGGGTTTAGGAATTTAGGGTTTAGGGTTTAGGGTTTAGGGTTTAGGGTTTAGGACCAAGACGATGGCCGCTGCCTCTCAGCCCTCTCTGGGAATGTGCTGGGCCTTTCAGAGTGCACAAAGCAGCAGAGGCCATGGGCTTCGGGGGGGGGGGGGGGGGGGGGGGGGGGGGGGGGGCAGTCCTGTGAACCTTGTTTGGGGTTTAGGGTTGTTTAGGGTTTAGGGTTTTAGGGTTTAGGGTTTGGGGCTTAGGGTTTTTGGGTTTTAGGGTTTTTGGGTTTTGGGTTTTTTGGGTTTTAGGGGTTTTAGGATGAGAAATAGGACCCTCGCGCCACAAGGAGGGCCCCCTAGCTATAAGTAGAGTTACATTTGACCCTCAGTTGGGTTACAAGTAGGTTATATGTCCCTGAAGTAAAGTTAGTATAGTAAAGGCTCCCTTACTTGTAGTGGGCCATATATCACATCCCTCTAAGGTCTCCCTATACCTGTGAACCCTACTCCACAAAGTCAACCTTATAAAAGGGCTTCCTTAAGACACCAAAGGAAACAAAAAACCCTATAAATCTGATCATAAACCCTATGCCTCTAAGGACTCCCCTATTTTTGGGCTTTTGGGCCCAAAGGCCTTCTTATGTAAGGTCCTTGGGCTGTTCGTAGTTGCCGGAGGGATTAGAGGAAGCACGTAGCCTCAGAATTTCACAAAAGGGATGTAAAGGGGCTTGTTTAAAGGGATGAGCGGGCCCAGAGCCCTTAACCAGGGTTTAGGGTTTAGGGTTTAGGGTTTAGGGTTTAGGGTTTAGGGTTAAAGCCCTTAACCTCTGTGGAGACCCCCCCCCCCCCGCCGTCCACCTCACGTTGCCCGAAGGTGGAGGCTGCGCACGCAGGGTGGGGCGACGCAGGTGCACGGGTTGCTATTAGTACAAAATTGATTGAGCCAGCATACTGGGATTATGTAGTAAATGCTACAGTATCCTTCAAGTAAGTTTCCAAAATGGGTGGTGCAGTAAACTGTGTTGCCAAAAGTAGAAGATCACGAAGCAGCTCAAGAAGTTTCAAGCTGCCATATAGGGTTTCCTCATTGCGGTTGCTTTGTTTAAGTGCTTTACAGCAACAATCCAGCAGGTGCAGCATGTGGCTTCCGCCACCTGCATCGATGCGGGCAGTGATCAGAAGCCGATACTGCCGCTGGGGCCGGGATTCGGAATATGCAAACGTTTGGCTCACTGACTTCGGGCTTAGGTTGTGTTAAGAGTTTTGTGGAGGGCCGCCTTGCAAAACGCAGATCGCAACAAGAACCATGTAGCATATGCCCAGACCCATTCCCAGGATCATTGTAGACGACATTGGGGGCCAAATGTACCATGAAAGGGTTTAGGGTTTAGGGTTTATGGCTCATATACCTCAATAGGGATTATCGTAGTATAGGGTAATATGGCACCAATGTGAGGGTTCATTTGGCCCCCCCCAAGGTACTTGTTGATGACAATCCTAGATCCCAACAAAGAACCGTACGGGTCCATGTACCTAATTGTTATATACTTGGGCCCCATATCCCCTATATGGCAAGTACTTTAAGGTCCAAACATTCACTATTTAAACCCTAAACCCTAGACGCTAAACCCTAAACCCTAAACCCTAAACATACGGTTGAACCCTTAGGGAAAGCTCCGAGCTGATGGCCGGCAGTTGGGCCAAGGTACCCTTGCCACACTGGGCATGTGAACCAGCCGCAGAAGTTTTCCTTCATTGAAAAGCCTCTCTACTTGTCAAAGAGTAGAACTTTATAGATTTTTTGGGTTTCCTGACGTAGTAGGATTGTACAGTTTGATTTTATCAACTTTTTGGGTTTCCTTATTTGCTACGAATTCTACAGTTTAACCGTTTTTTCCTTGGATGTTGGAGAAGTAAGGCCTGGCTGGATACAAAACCCCATTACTTGGGGGGACAACGGCCGGCGACGAACATTTGAGACCTGCTTGGACCGTCTGCCTGTCAAGCCGCAGAACGTCGCTGTTCAGGACTGCACGCAGGTGCGTGAATCTGGAGTTCGCTGGGACGCTGTAGTGCCAATTCAGCAGGCTTGTCATTTGTTACCCACCAGGACGGGATATTAGGGCCTATAATTCCCAGAATCAACCCCAGAAAGGGCTTTTTTTGTTAAGGGGCTGCAGGGTATAGTAGCCCGTGGCACGGTTTGACCGAGCATCCTGGCATGATTCTTTACTAGCTTGGGATGCCTCGCGAACCCTAAGCCCTGAATCCTAAACCCTAAACCCTGAACCCTAAACCCTGAACCCTAAACCATAGAGAGAGAGCGGAGATCAGGTTTTTCTGAAACTGTTCCTGTGCAATAGTCTTCTAGATGCTACTAATTGCTTAAGAACCCCCCCCAAAAAAAAACAGAAAAACAAATCTCCTTCTAAGGGTAGTATAGGGATTCTTGTTTGATGTTTTTTTTTTTGGGGGGGGGGGGGGTAATTGCTTAAGAACCCCCCCCAAAAAAAAACAGAAAAACAAATCTCCTTCTAAGGGTAGTATAGGGATTCTTGTTTGATGTTTTTTTTTTGGGGGGGGGGGGGGAGGGGCTCTTAAGCAAATGATAGGATATTCCAATGTCAAAGGTTTATGCAGGTTGTTGAAGGTTCCCAGCTCTCTCTCGCTCTCTCTCTCTCTCTCTCGCTCTCTCTCTCTCTCTCTCTCTCTCTCGCTCTCTCTCTCTCTCTCTCTCGCTCTCTCTCTCTCTCTCTCTCTGTCGCTCGGCAATCACAGCATTCCTGTTGCCAAACAGGATGTACCAAGTGCAGCCGACTTGGGTGTTTTCCTTGGTAACCCAGTGGTACTCTTTTCCCTTTTTTGGGGTTCAGGGTTCCCTTATAAAGTAACGATCCCCAAAAAAGGGTACCCTTATTGTAATATTTGGTTACTGGGCTACTAAGTTTCCAGAAGAAAGCATATGGAACAAGGTTGATATTACTGGTTTTGGTGAGTGTATATAAGGTTCCTGCTTAATATCGGTGAGTGTATATACCTGGTGTCCTTTTGGGGATACAAGAAATATAAACCCTACTTCATATCAAGTTGCTCCGCAGTTTAGCCCAAGCCCTGCACAGCATCAGACCTTGTCTCCCCCTGGGAATCACGACTGGCATGGGCTCCGAAAAGAGGGTTTCGGGTTTAGGAGTTTAGGAGTTTAGGAGTTTAGGAGTTTAGGAGTTTAGGAGTTTAGGAGTTTAGGAGTTTAGGAGTTTAGGAGTTTAGGGCACTTGCATGACCGAGGAATTGTACAATGCTTTCGTGCCTTTGGAGCGGCCGCTCAGCTTAAACCCTAAACCCTAAACCCTAAACCCTAAACCCTAAACCCTAAACCCTAAACCCTAAACCCTAAACCCTAAACCCTAAACCCTAAACCCAGCTGGAGGTAGGCGGTGGCCGGCGCATCCTTGGGGACTGTACATGAAGCCTAAGATTGGGGCCATTCAGGGCTAGGGCTTATTGTTAGGGTTTTGGGTTCAGGGTTTAGGGTTTTGGGGGGGGGGGGGGGTCGGCAATGCTACAAGTATTCTGGCTGATTGGCTCCTGCAGTCCCGATGCAAAAAAAGGGTTTAGGGAACCATAACCCTCAACCCTAAACCCTAAAGCCACCCTTTTAGGGTTCATTTGAGGTCCCCAAGGATCATTCTGGTCCCATGGTGTTTGCATCGCACCAGTAGTAGGACGTCATGACTGAAATACCCTAAACCCTAAGCCCTGAACCCTAAACCCTAAGCCCTAAACCCTAAACCCTAAACAGAGAGCCACAAAAAACATGAGACGACGCTTGGCAGCCTTCAGGAATCCCACACGTCCCAAAGCCCGCTTTCAGCACGCGTTTTTTGAATCAGAAGGTTTTTGTTGTCAACGTGCCAAAACCCGCCTTCAAGACGCTTTCCCTTAACCGTAAGGTTTTTGTTTGTTGGTTTCGCGTTTTGGGAAGCCCCAATATCAGAATCCCAGCCGTTCATTGCAGGGAGGGGGGGTTTGGTCCACGTATCATGAACCCCATTGGTGCCTAAAACACAGGCCTCCCCCCTCCCCCCCAATAGCCCAGAATGTAGAGACCCTAGTCAACCCTAACCTCTCTAAACCCAACACTCTCGAAACCATCCCCAAAGCCCAAGCCCCAAACACCAAACCCCAAACCCCAAACCCTAAACCCTAAACCCCAAACTCCAAACCCCAAACCCCAAACCCTAAACCCTAAACCCCTGCCGCCGCAGATTTCCTGAGGCAGCTCTGGGACGCGGCGGAGAAGCCGCCCCCGGGCACTCCAGTCCTCGGTGGCGACAAAGCACCACCTTAGGGGCTCTAGGGGGTTTAGGGTTTAGGGTTTAGGGTTTCGGGGTGTGGCTAGGGCTTTTAGGGCTTTAGGTTTCTGTTGGGGCTTCCAGGGCGTTTAGTGGTTCAGGGTGCAGTGTTTGTTTTAAGGTGTAGGGTGTTCGGATGTTAGGGTTTTAGGGTGTTGGGTGTTGCTTAAATTGTCTAAGGAATCTGCTGAACCATGGTTTTTCGTTTTGATTTTGTACAAGGGGTTCAGTCCGGTAACAGCTGGGATACTGGAGCGTTTTGCTGTTTCCCCACGAGATTTCAAGAATCTCGTGTTCAGACGACTCGACCCCTTAGGCTCTCAAAATAGCCCAAAAACCTTACAAAAGAAAGCCTTTGGCCCAAAAGACCTAAAATAGGAGTCCTTAGAGCCTTGTAGGGTAAACCCTAAACCCTAAACCTTAAACCCTAAACCCTATACCCTAAACATGGGAGTCCTCAGAGCCTTAGGGGGCACATCAATTCAACAATGCGCTGCGGACATGGCTGCATCGCGCACTAGAGGAAAAAAGAAGCGTGCTCTGATGCATCCATGTGGCAGAGTGCGAGTGCCTATGAAACCTCACATTCCCAAAACCCAAAACCCTAAACCCTAAACCCTAAACCCTAAACCCTAAACCCTAAACCCTAAACCCTAAACCCTAAACCCTAAACCCTAAACCCTAAACCCTAACCCTATCAACCCTAAACCAAGAGAGAGAACTACAGAGAGCAGGGTTTGCCCTACGCAAAGTGACGCTCCGTGTGGCGCGACCGGCTGCTGCGGCGGCGGCCAAAAAGCATGAACCCTAAACCCTAAACCCTAAACCCTAAACCCTAAACCCTAAACCCTAAACCCTAAACCCTAAACCCTCAACGAAACCTTATCTGGATCCTTAAGCGTACCGAAAGCCAGCTTGTACCCCCTTACAAGGGTATATTTCCTAATCCTGAAGGTGCACTACCTCCCCAAGTAAGGGGGCATATACACGGGACCATGTAGATACCCTTAGACATTCTCAGCAGGAAGTCTCTAAACTCTACCCAAGTCAAGGCCCGAAGCAATGCTGCGGTTGGCATTGGGCGCGCTGCGCGTGGCACGACGCCGCGCTGCCATTGGGAATTGCACTTAGGGTGAACCGGATTCAGGCTTCAATGGCGTGGTTCCCTGAAAGATCTGATTGTGGATTCAGTTTGAGGGTTTGGGGCTTCACACGCACACTCACCGCTTCCCCCCCTCACACTCCGCTGCCGGCTTGTTTGGTCCAGAGCCTTTATCTGAAAATGTGGGCCCTTATGCCCACTTGTTCCTTACAAGACTGCTTTGGGAATCACACTGTACCCTTATCGAGCTCCAAAGGAAGGGTCAGGTCAAGAGGATGGACCAAAAACAGAAGGAATCCAGATATTCTACTGGGAAGCCCTTTTGACTTAGTAAGTAGGGATAGTAAGGAGGGCTGTGGAGATTATAATGGGGATTCGAGGGGATACGAAGTACACTGACTAAGTCAAAAGAGCTTCTAGCTTGGGTTTACCTTTACCGGCTTAGGCAGCGGTCAGATGGTCAGTCGTCACCCTCCCTTGGAGATAGTCTCATCATTCCTGTCAGCCTAAACCCTAAACCCTAAACCCTAAACCCTAAACCCTAAACCCTAAACCCTAAACGAAAGCAGACTCCCATCAGGTCGTCGTGGGCGGGTATGCGAAGCTGCATGAGTTGCATGGCTGCACCTAAACCCTAAACCCTAAGCCCTTGTCAGGTTCATTTGGTCCTTAAGGTTAGGAGCGTGGGGTGAAGGTTTTGGGCGTGGCCCTGATGTGAGGCTTTAGTTTGACATTTCTTTGCCCAATAAGCAGGTCCATTCCCCGCACCTCTGTCAAGCGCACGGCCCAAACCGAACTTTCAGTTTGGGCTTCCCTAAAAAACCCTAAACCCTATTCCCTGTTCCCGGGTTTGGCCTGGTTGGACATGAATGCCTCTTCAATCTCAGTGGAGGTACCTTGAATACATGGGTCTGTATTCCTAGTAGAGTAAGAGTAGCATAGGAACAACAGAACTGGATCAGAACTTGTGAATTGCACACATAGCAAAGGGGTCTTGAACAGTTGCATGCGACCCCATGACGACGACGCCACGCTCTGCTTTCCGTTCGCTGTCTTGGCTTGCAAGGCTGCTGTCTTGGGGGGTTCACTTGGTCAATGTCGGCTAAGATACATCCCAGTCACGACTAAGAGTTTAGGGTTTAGGGTTTAGGGTTTAGGGTTTAGGGTTTAGGGTTTATTCTTTTGAGCCTTTAAGTGAAGTTGAGCCGAAGCAAACTGGATGTAAGTGGGTGTCGGCCCCATCGGCTCGAAGCCAGGCCCGTCAGATTTCTTCAAAAGGCGGACTCCTGTAGCCTGCTTAGTGAGGTAGTTTAGGGCTGAGGGCTTGGGACATGTGATCCTTTTTCCCCCTTATTATTGGGTTTCAGAGGAGTTCATACTCAGGAATAGTTTTTCAGAGGGTATTGAGGGCCATCCTAGTTAGCGGCCTTTGGGGTGGGTGGCGGGCAACAAGGGGGTGGGTCCGGTGTGGCCCCCCAGAGTGCGGAAGCATGGGCTTCGTAGACCCATGGCCTGGGCGGTATGAGCTGTCCATGAAGCTGGCGAGCCCCTGGGCTGCGGGGAGCTGGGGTTTAGGGTTTAGGGCTTAGGGTTTAGGGTTTAGGGTTTAGGGTTTAGGGTTTACGGCCTAGGGCTTACTTAGGGTTTTGGGTTTAGGGTTCATGGGTTCTCATACAGGTACGGGCCCCTTCATTTTACGAACTCTACCTAAGAGACTTATAACCTGAAGCAAAAGTACAAAGATCCCAATTCAGGGTCATTAATTATAGCTCTATTTATGCCTAGGGGGCATCCACTAGCTGCACTAGCTAAAGTACATGGGCTTTGTCCAGATTGGGAGTCTGTATAGAAGCTGCCTCAGCCCTAAGAATGACGATATCTCCCGCCTTCAGGTCCCAGGCAAGGCTTCCCACAAAAAAGCGGGACAAACCCTGCAACCGCTTGGCAGCTGAGTGATACCCTTTTGCCAGTTTAAGGTTCTGGATTCCCCCTTTTTAAAGTAACCCACCCCGAACACCCCAAAATATGAGCATCCCCTAATCATGACTTATGCTACTGATACAATAAGGCACCCTTGATTTCGGAACCCCTAAACCCTAAACCCTAAACCCTAAACCTTAAACCTGGCCTACTCTCGGCCCACAGGCCTGGAGCAGGACGAGATCGGCCCACAGGCCGAGATCAGAGTCACACTCGGTCGTCAGTTGACTGTTTCGTTGTTGGTCCACCTCTTGGTGTAACAGAGAAACTCTCTAGGTATATGCATGTATAGATATGTATATGTATATATACACACACTCTTTTACACATACATATATATGTATATATGTATGTACGCATGTAGAGAGAGATAGACATGTATCTCGTAGCAGCAGATCAAAAAATATGTATACATATATATATATATATGTTTACATTTTTGATTTTATTCATGGCATGCGCATCAGAGTTTACATACAGTTAAATGCCTACATACATGTCAGATGCATTCGCAGAAGCATATCATTCTCATGTACAGCGAGGTTCAGAGCGCGGTGGCCCTTAACAACCCCCCCAACCCTCTGCTAGAGGATTAGGGTTTAGGGTTTAGGGGTTTGCTGGTTGTTTGAAGTCCTCAGTGAGCCTCAGTACGATGAGCTGCTTCGTAGGTTGGCGGAATAACTGCTTTCCTGAAGTTCTTGCATGTTGCTTGCTTCCTTCCCTCTCAGGCCGGAGCCTGAGCAGTCCTGGGTTAAAAGGGTTTAGGGCATGATCCATAGGTGCGATGCTGCCCCTTTCCACTGACGACGCCGGCCATGGAGTGTGTCTTCCAGGACACGTGTGTTGAGGGTTTAGGGTTTAGGGTTTAGGGTTTGGCTGGTAGAGTCGAAGTATTCCCGCGATGCCTCACTTGAAAGCTACTTAGAGGTTCATGGGTACCTATAAGCCCAGTCAGAACTGTACTGATAAGCCTCCGAATTCCCCCAAGTAGGTTAGAAGTCCCTGAAACCTCCAAGAACTGAACCTCAAGGTATGGAATTTTTTCGAGCATAACTCAGTGCCAGCATTATCTCCTTCCTTGCCTTCAGGATAGAGTTAGAGACATAAAGTGCCCGAGTAAGTACCCTTTGAAATTCGGCAGGCGCCCTCAACTAGACTTGGTTCAGGCGTACAGGGTTTAGGGATGGGGCCGATTTGAAGGCTTCCCTTCAAGTGCCCACGACCTCATTGTTTAGGACTTTCTACGCTGGTGTGGGGCCCCTCAGACCTTATGAATTGGCGTCTTGGGCCCTGAGGGATCTTCAACCCTAAACCCTTAAACCCTTAAGCCCTAAACCCTTCCTTAAAGGACCAAATGAACCTTAAAAGGGTTCTTAGTTCATGTACCTGAATAAGGATCATAGTAGTATAGGGAATGTGACCCCAATTTTAGGGTTCCTAAACCCTAAACCCTAAACCCCTAAACCCCTTAAACCTGGCTTGCGCCTTGCCGCAGGACCCGCAGCTGCTCATGATGCTCGTGTCAGCTGCTGGACTACCAGCCGCGCCTTGGCCGGCAAGAGGTCCAAGGCATAGCAAGCTTGTACAAACCCTAAACCCTAAATCCTAAACCCTAAACCCTAAACCCTAAATCCTAAACCCTAAACCCTAAACCCCAAAAACCCAAAAACCCTAAGACCTATATGGTTAAAAGGTACACCGTGTTGTATAGGATAAGAACCCTAGACCCTAAACCCTAAACCCTAAACCCTAAACCCTAAACCCTAAACCCTAAACCCTAAACCCTTGCAAGATACAGCCAGCAAACAGAAGTCCATGCGAACTACAGGCGCGCGCCTGCAGGGCCACCCGCCGGGCCCTGAGCAAGGCCTGGGTGCGGTTTAGGGTTTAGGGTTTAGGGTTTAGGGTTTAGGG